GAAGAAGTTGAAGATGTTGAGCTGCTACTGCTACTTGTGCTAGTAGTGGAAGTGGTTGTGAAGCTAGTGGAAGTCGTACTGCTGCTGGTAGTTGTGCGGGTTGTGGAACTTGTTGAGGTACTTGAGGAAGAGGTACTGGTAGTTGACGTAGATGTTGCAGTTGTGCTGCTACTAGAAGTGGAACTTGAGCTTGAAGAAGTTGAAGATGTTGAGCTGCTACTGCTACTTGTGCTAGTAGTGGAAGTGGTTGTGAAGCTAGTGGAAGTCGTACTGCTGCTGGTAGTTGTGTTGGTTGTGGAACTTGTTGAGGTACTTGAGGAAGAGGTACTGGTAGTTGACGTAGATGTTGCAGTTGTGCTGCTACTAGAAGTGGAACTTGAGCTTGAAGAAGTTGAAGATGTTGAGCTGCTACTGCTGCTTGTGCTAGTGGTGGAAGTGGTTGTGAAGCTAGTGGAAGTCGTACTGCTGCTGGTAGTTGTGCGGGTTGTGGAACTTGTTGAGGTGCTTGATGAAGAAGTGGTTGTGCTGGTTGTGGATGATGATGTTGTTGAGGTTATAGTCTCGGTGGTTGATGTTGTTGATGAACTTGTTGCAGTGGTACTCGTTGTTGTCGCTGTTGAGGAGGTGCTAGTGGTAATTGTTTTTGAAGTGCTGGTGGTGGTGATGCTTGTTGTAGTGCTGCTCGTGGTAGTGTGAGTCGAAGACGTACTTGTTGTGATTGTTTTTGAAGTGCTTGTAGTGGTGCTGCTGGTTATAGTGTGTGTTGAAGACGTACTTGTTGTGATTGTTTTAGAAGTGCTGGTGCTGGTGCTACTTGTAGTGGTGCTGCTAGTGGAAGTGTGAGTCGAAGAAGTGCTTGTGGTCACTGTCTTTGTTGTGCTCGACGTTGATGTACTTGTGGCGGAAGTGCTGGAAGATGTTGTACTGGTGGAAGTGTGAGTTGAAGATGTGCTCGTGGTGTAGGTCTTTGAAGTGGATGTAGTCGATGAGCTCGTGGTGGATGAGGTTGTGAATGTCGTGCTCGTGCTGCTTGTTGAGGTGCTTGTGGTCGATGATGTTGTCATTGAGGTGCTGGTAGTGGAAGTACTTGTCTCAGTGGTTGACGTGCTGCTAGTGGATGTGAAGGTGGTAGATGTTGAGGAAGTGCTGCTGCTACTGGTACTGGTCGTGGTGGCCGACGTTGACGTGGTCGATGTTGCCGTTTCTGTGGTCGAACTGCTTGAAGTAGATGTTGTTGAAGTGCTCGTTGCTGAGGTTGAAGTACTGGTAGTGGATGTGGAAGTTTCTGTTGTACTGCTTGTGCTGCTGCTTGTTGTACTTGTGCTGGTGAAAGTGGTGCTGCTGCTGGTTGTAGACGTACTGGAAGTGGACGTTGTACTACTTGAAGAGCTGGTAGTGGATGTGGAAGTTTCTGTAGTACTGCTTGTGCTGCTGCTTGTCGTACTTGTGCTGGTGAAAGTGGTGCTGCTGCTGGTTGTAGAAGTACTGGAAGTGGATGTTGTACTACTTGAAGAGCTGGTAGTGGATGTGGAAGTTTCTGTTGTACTGCTTGTGCTGCTGCTTGTCATACTGGTGCTGCTTGCAGTTGTAGAGGTACTGGAAGTGGACGTTGTACTACTTGAAGAGCTCGTGGTGGATGTGGAAGTTTCTGTAGTACTGCTTGTGCTGCTGCTTGTCGTACTTGTACTGGTGAAAGTGGTGCTGCTGCTGGTTGTAGACGTACTGGAAGTGGACGTTGTACTACTTGAAGAGCTGGTAGTGGATGTGGAAGTTTCTGTTGTACTGCTTGTGCTGCTGCTTGTCATACTGGTGCTGCTGCTGGTTGTAGAAGTACTGGAAGTGGATGTTGTACTACTTGAAGAGCTGCTAGTGGATGTGGAAGTTTCTGTTGTACTGCTTGTGCTGCTGCTCGTGGTACTTGTGCTGGAGTAAGTTTCGCTGCTGCTGGTTGTAGACGTACTGGAAGTGGATGTTGTACTACTTGAAGAGCTGGTAGTGGATGTGGAAGTTTCTGTTGTACTGCTTGTGCTGCTGCTTGTCATACTGGTGCTGCTTGCAGTTGTAGAGGTACTGGAAGTGGACGTTGTACTACTTGAAGAGCTCGTGGTGGATGTGGAAGTTTCTGTAGTACTGCTTGTGCTGCTGCTTGTCGTACTTGTGCTGGTGAAAGTGGTGCTGCTGCTGGTTGTAGAAGTACTGGAAGTGGATGTTGTACTACTTGAAGAGCTGCTAGTGGATGTGGAAGTTTCTGTTGTACTGCTTGTGCTGCTGCTCGTGATACTTGTGCTGGAGTAAGTTTCGCTGCTGCTGGTTGTAGACGTACTGGAAGTGGATGTTGTACTACTTGAAGAGCTGGTAGTGGATGTGGAAGTTTCTGTAGTACTGCTTGTGCTGCTGCTCGTGGTACTTGTGCTGGAGTAAGTTTCGCTGCTGCTGGTTGTAGACGTACTGGAAGTGGACGTTGTACTGCTTGAAGAGCTGGTGGCGGACGTGGAAGTTTCTGTTGTACTGCTTGTGCTGCGACTCATGGTACTTGTGCTTGTAAGACTGGTGCTGCTGCTGGTTGTAGATATGCTGAATGTGGATGATGTTGTACTTGAAGAACGTGTTGTGGAAGAAAGTGTAGCAGTTTCACTACTTGTGCTTGTGCTTGTAAAACTGGTGCTGCTGCTGGTTGTAGATATGCTGAATGTGGATGATGTTGTACTTGACAAACTTGTGGTGGAAGAAAGCGTAGCAGTGGCGCTACTTGTGGTTGTGCCAGTGAAACTTCTGCTGCTACTAGTTGTAGACATAGTGGAAGTGGATGTTTTCGTGCTTGACAGACTTGTGGTAGAGGAAGATAGAGTAGTTGTGTCACTTGTACTTGTGTCACTGGCGCTGGTGCTGCTCGTTGCAGACATGGTGGAAGTGGATGTCCCTGTCGTGGTTTTGCTTGTCGCGGATGATGTGGAAGTTGATGTCAGTGTACTCACTGAAGTTGTGCCCGAGCTGCTGCTGGTGCTTGTCGCAGTTTCGGTGGTTGTGTCCGTGGTCATTGATGTCGTATGTGGTGGCTGTGTAGGAAGTAATCTTCTGCTCGCCTCTAAAACGCGTCCAGATTTTCCTCGCAAGGATATTATGACAATGGTAGAATGGCCAATGTGCTGAGGATCCCCCCAAGTTTTTGGTCGTTGAGGTGCCTCATAGTGACGTATGTGTTTCACGAGGTGCTAAGTCGTCTCAAGCCCCCCATCCAAGAACCCAAGGACCCGATGCTGGGAGAATCCGATGAACATCTTGCTACCCAACAGGAGTCCAATCCATGACTACTCCAATTTGCTTAAAAAAAAAACGAAAAGATGGAAAAGTAGAGCCTTATCTTTTGAAATAAAGTTTTATACAATCTTAACACATGTCCTTTTCTTTTTGGGGGGTTTACAATATGGCGGTTTACTGAAACTGCCCAGTCCATAGTCGCTCCTCCAATCGATGGCTCCATGGCCATCGCGGCCTCTAAAGGTCCGACTGAAGGCCTGCACGGGGGAACCATGGCAAATCGTGGCAACCATGGTTTTCCTATCCCATAGGATCCATGTATGCTATATATGATAACATTTACCATCAATATACCCCAAATGTTAGCATATATACCATACATGGATCCTACGGGTATGGTTTCCTATGTTTCTTTTCCCAAAGTGAGACTCAGCTGAAATCCAACTCCGGAATTTAGCAGTAAGAGATGCGTTGATTTGGGATAATGATAATGAAATCCCGTTTTTGTGGTGGACAGTGGCTGAAATGATGGTTGCGTGGGATTTAGTAGACTCAGATATTGAACCAGAAAGAGGAATCAGGAAACTAGTGACGAATATATATACAGTAATTGAATGTTACATTCAAACGTCCGATCGAATGTTCATCAAGCGGGATAGAAAACAATTGATGAAACTTGGAATGTTGGCCGATACTGAGATACTGACCACGCACCAATTGTTGGCTCATCAAGCCAGGGGATGGGAATCGAAGGTGGGATGAGGATTTTTAGTCCCCATCAAATGGCTAACGTGATCTGATAATAGTTAGCCGTTAGCCACTCTCATCCACTCAAAAATTGGATACCAATAACCATCATTGTGAGAGGACTCGGTCCAGGACGGAAATCCTGATTGAAACCAAGAGCAGGTATAGGTGGTATGGGTCAAAACATCTCAAAACATGGCAATCCATGGATGGCTGCACCCCTGGTGTTCTCCGACCTCCATCTGTCAGAAGCTATGACCAGGGTCACCAAAGTTGCCGCGGTCAGAAGCCGAAAACGCCAAAGCTTCGCCGTCATTTGAAGCGCCACAAAGGTGGCGATTTCTTCACAGCCATGGCGATTTCGGGCTGAATCCTAAATCTAGAGGCATGAGAAACACACCAGGATGAGGCTGGCTTATATGCATACATAATATATATATATACATAATATATATATATTATACATGTGTATTATTGTGTATTCATATTGTACATTTTATATACTTACATTTATTTTCAACTTCTATGGTGGGAACGCATCTTTGCTGGTATTTCTTGGCAATTCGTATACAACTTCATCGAATGTCGTGATGCTCGTTGCTCCAGTTGATCATTGCCTCAAACCCCCATGGCCGCGCCGCGCTGGCCGCGGTTGGGGCACTATGGTAACTTCCGAGCAGCGGATCCAGAGAAATTCATACAGGTTTTAAGCAAAGGGCCCGGTAAGGGCCCCAAAGCTTGTGACATTTTGACATGTTGTGCCCAGGCTTGACCATGTATTACCCCCAGTAAAGGCAGCACTGTTCAAGTCCAAGATGTTCGCAATTCACTTCAAATGCAAAACGGGGGAGTTGCTTTGCAAGAAGAAAACACACATGTCCAGTGAAAACACACACTCCAATATGTGGCTTTTATGTTCTATATGTTCTCTATATGTTCTTAAGATTGGGGAGGGCCCTCTTCACGGGAAAACCTCTGCGTCGACGTTGCTGGATTTTTGATCCGCCGATGCTCGTGCCACGGGCTTTACTTCTGCTTGACGTCCAAACCAAAGCCCTGCATCGCATCTGGGCTACAAATTCTAAGACCTAAAAGGCGGAACAAGAACAAACAATAATTCACATTGCAATGATCCAACTCTTCTCATGGTTACTTCATGTTACTTTAGGCTTAGGGAATCTGAAACTTCTCTACGTCAGCTCGAAACACCCCAGGAGACATCCTTCAGGAGTTGCTGACAAGGTACATGGTGTCTGGATGTATATGGCCTAGGGTCATCTGTCCCGTAACAGGAGTCCTCATAATGGGTATATAAATCATTATAAATCCCTACTAATGGATGAATGACCATCCCCTTCAACGGCAAACCAAAGCAACTTTCGACCATGGCACTGATATAGATAGCACCATCAGTGGCACTGGATCTGACGCTTTTCTGTCTTGCCTGACACAACAAGTGGAAGGCGCTCCTGGGCGTGCAGCTCCGGCAAGATACTGGAAATGTTATTTCCAGCTGGGATAGGGACATCGATTTTTGGCAAAAAGAACACGCACTTGGGTCCAGAAGTCAATTGGTTAGCGTTTGAGCCACCCGTCCCAAACAGTTCATGAAGTCGTTTGGCATTCGTTTGGCAATGGCAAACAAGAATTCAGAATATGCTTCATTCATTGCAACTAAATGACATATTATGACATATTCATATATTTGATTAGAGTTGAAACCACCAAAATCACCAACCATTCATTAAAATGATCAACTCCATGCGTATCCTCTCCTGAGCTGCTGCCCGAAGCTGTAGATGGCCAGAACTCCAAAGACACAGGCCACGCACATTGCGGGACCTGACAAGTGTCGTAGCATGTCGTAGCATGTCGTAGCATGTCGCAGCCACGGCCCGGGGCATGGATCAACTCAGCAACTGGCCACTTGAAACAGCTCTATATTCCAATTTAAACCAAACCCAAAGCATATTTCAATCATATTTCAATCATATTTCAACCATAATTACCATGTTTGCTCCAAAGCAGAAAAGGGGAAGCTTGGGTCAAATTTAAGTGGTAAAAATATGGTGAAACAAAGCAGCTTCCCCGGCCTCGAGCAGCTTTCCCAGGGATCGGAGCCTGAGCATCGCCAATGGATTGGCTACCCTTATCCCTCAGAGGGGGAGGAAACGGAATCCAAATCTCCAATCCACCACAGTATGAACCCCTCAGTTTTTAACATCTTAAAGATTCTTAAAGCACATTGGATGGTTCATTGGCTCGAGTTTTTGGGTTTCAGAGGATCCCCAGCCACCGTCTTCAGCAGCGACCTCTCTGGCTTCTTTGCGCATGATGCTGCCCCATTGAGCAGGACGCTCCTTCGACCTGACGATGAACGGCGGCAAGGGATAGGCTGAGTCGAACAACAGAAAATGTTGATCCAACCACTGGAGATGAGATCAAACGATTAATATCGATTAATCAAGAATCTAATTGCTGCAAAATCAACAAAGACTGGGTCTGTCGGTCTGCTTCCTTCTCGGCCCTGTGATCGGGCTGTGATAGTGAGAAGGATTCCATTGGAAAGTAGGTCTCTGACTTTCATTTGGGTAAGATGGACACATATGGACACAGTAGCAGTTGCATCAGTTGCTTGGTTCCCTCTCCTTAGACTATTCAAGTGTCTTCTGGGGCTCCAAGTTTTGGCATATTCACTTTGTCGACTCAGCACTAGGCCTAGGCTTGAAGCAAACATCTCCAGTTAATTGCTATGTTTACAACATCTCACATTAAAGATCCACTTTGCCCGCCAGTGAACACCAACTGGTCAGTTCCTAACTTTGGCCGGAGATCCACAACACTCAGAGATCCATCTGATCATCTGAAGCCCTTTCTGGCAAGGGACGCTTCCACAGCCTCCAGCGGCATCTCTTTTCGCATGATGGGATGTCGCCTGACTGGTGGATTCACCAGCTGAATCTGAATGATTCACCAACCGAAACATCATGAAACATCCTAAACTAAGGTCGTTTTGAATACTGTACTTGGGGTTAGTAAAACAAGATGTTACAAGTACCCTTACTAGCCATCATTTAGCGTGAGTCTGTGGTGAGGTCGCTACAATATTTACAATTCAGAGAACATGCAACGGTGGAAGCTGCGCCGTTGCAGCTGAGATCCAGACTCACCACCGCTTTCAGCCTGCAAGATTGACTTCACTCCAGCGTGACACATCTGAGGTGTCCCATGGTGTCCCAAAACCTTCAACAAAACCCATGTCGTTCCGCGTCAACCTGAGGATGTCCAAAGTCCACATCTTTGGCGTCTCATTGCTAGATATCTTTGAGAAAATGAGATCCCAAAGTTCGGCATCGAATGGAGGAAACGGCTGCGTTGTTGTACCAAACCAAGGCAAGTTCGGCACATTGCGTGTCCCACCTTCATTGGTGCCACTGGTGCATCATCTTTCTTCAGGAGTCCATTGCCAGCACCCAACCTCAGGCCATAGCTGGTAGATGCTGGTAGTATATGGTTCTTCATCCACGATGGAAAACCATAGGCTTTGACCCATCCCCATATCTCAGGATACCACCACTTCAAATCCAAAAAATTCTGAAAATCCATAGCCTCTGGTAAGCATAGTTCTGGAAAATCACTGAGAAAGAAATCATCAATCATCGAACTAAATGGGGCCGTGTGGCTTCCATTGCTATGCGAAATCACTAGGTGTCCCTGACGTGGCACCCCCAGCAGCCACCAGGAGCAGTGCGCTGATGGCACCAGCCGCCACGACTGGTAGTTCGGTGTCGCGGGTAAATGAGGTACCCCAAAATCCCGTGGAGATCCTTGGTTTATCATCATCTTTCATGTTTAAATGTATCAAAAGGCCTTAAATTTATGCAAGTTTGGGAATGTTTGGGATATATTTATGTTTGGACTTTGGACAAATCCAAATGTTGATGGAATCATCGCTCGAGCCGAATAGAAAAATGCATGTCAGGTGCTTCTGATTATCACTTATGACTGAGTTTCAAACAGATAGAACCTACCATTGATCGGACTTTAAGTACAGCGACGCCAGCTTTATTGGCAGCCCCGTGAACTGCTTCAGCCATGTCATCTGAGTTGTGGCGATCCTCTCTCAAATTCAAATTCTATCACATCAAGTTAAACATAGTTAAACATAGTTAAACATATAGTTAAACATAGTTAAACCATATTCAACCCCCAAAAGTCGCATTGAAAATCTCTCCGAGCAAGGCCTGAGATGGCAACGCGCTTGGGGCTCACCCAGATCGCCTCAAGACAGAAACAATTGTTCCGTGACGAACGAGTGAAGGAGACGTCCGAGGTTGTCCATTACCCAAAAATCATCATCCTGGAGATTCATTATGATTCATTCTCCTGGAAAAAATCAGGAGTTTCCGCTTTCCAGTGATAATTTGGAGTTTCAGGCGTTTCATGTCATGTGACAGTGCGACACTTTCAAGTGGGGCCATCCCCAAACCCTGAGAATCTGAAAATGTTAGCTCTCCGTCATTTTGGGATTTGCAGGTTTTTGCGGATATTTGCGGGAGTTTTGCGGAAATTTGTGGGATTTTTGCGGGTAATTTCCAACGTTTTCGGTGGCAACTTTCACTTTGCTCAACTCAACCCTCAGACCTTAAAAAACACCCTGGACATCCTTTTGCCTTTCCAAAAACACAAGGAGTTTTAGGAGTTTCAGGTGTTTGCGTCAAAGTCCATCGTTTTCAGAGCAGGGAAACACCGAGAACTCGAGATTTTTCCAGGATTTTGAATCTCCAGGATGGTGAAATTGTGCACATCATTGGCGAAATATGGCGAAATATGGCGAAATGAATCGATTTCTGATGATTTCTGATATAAAAACCCTGGGATTTCTGATTTTGGTTTCCATAGGGCCATAGGTTCCCCCCAAAATCGCCAAATCCATGCCACAGATCGCCGACTGGGGTGATCCCGCAGCACGGGTCTGGACGGTCGCAGCCATGGATGCCTGGGGGAGGGAAGTTTCCCAAAGGACTGAGATGTTACAGTCTATCTGCTATATATATATATATGTTAAATATATATATATACAAATACAATATGTTAAATTGCTGTAACATATATATATATGTATACATCATACAATATGTTAAATTGCTGTAACACATATATATATACATACAATATGTTAAATTGCTGTAACATGTAATATATATATATAATTATATACATACAATATGTTAAATTGCTGTAACATGTATATATATAATTATATACATACAATATGTTAAATTGCTGTAACATATATGTATATACATACAATATGTTAAATTGCTGTAATATATATATATACATACAATATGTTAAATTGCTGTAACATATATATATACATACAATATGTTAAATTGCTGTAACATATGTAAATATATACATACAATATGTTAAATTGCTGTAACACATATATATATACATACAATATGTTAAATTGCTGTAACATATATATATACATACAATATGTTAAATTGCTGTAACATATATATATACATACAATATGTTAAATTGCTGTAACATATGTAAATATATACATACAATATGTTAAATTGCTGTAACATATATATATATATACACATACAATATTTTATATTGCTGTAACATATATATATATACATACAATATGTTAAATTACTGTAACATCCTATGGATTTATCCTGATAGTTTACAGTAAGATTTTGCCATCTTTGGCGGCCCGACAAGAATGTCTCGGACAATCGGACAGCAAAAAAGCTCTACTGGAAGTGGGGCCAGAAAGCACAGCTGCGGCGGAAATCTGATGCTGTGCAGATGCGGACGCAATGATAAACCATCGCCCCAATCATGATGGCCTTGAGGGTGGTAGCTGGATGACATTTGATCAAGAGCTCATTAATTGATGTCATTGATGTCATTGATGATGATTTCATGAACGCAGTGCAAACTGAGCAACACCGGAAAAGGAAGTACCTGCAAAGGCTCTGTTGCGATCAACACAAACACCACACCAACGCCTGTGAAGGCATACTGGCCATGGTCAACAGAGCATATGATTGGCCGATAAAGGATCCATTGATCGATGGCCAGAGCTGGGCCACCATGGCCCCATACGGAACAGCTGTTTGAATCGAAGCATTTCATGTCGCGGGATAGGAGACGCACTCCAGGCTGACTGCCATGAGCTCCCATTTTCAGGATGTTGCTGGAAAATAATCCAGCGAAACGGTCTTTGTTAACAAAAATGGAGACAAAAAAAACGTAGAAAACAAAAATGAAAATCTGAGCACTGCTTGAGTTTCCTTCCTTGCCCTGGAAATATGTGTGACTGGCCAAGTCGTCAAGTCATTGATTACACAATGGATGCTTTGAGACGGCTCAATATGTTTTAATGCCAGTGGCAAACCCGTATGGCCCATACCCAAACTCTGTGTGTTCGAATTGATTAAATCATCTCAGCTACTTCAAAGGCATAGGCATACTAAAGGGCATGGCCCATAGATTCGCAAGAGCCAGGACGAAGCTGTCAGTCTTTAAAGTAGGGATCGACAAAGAATTTGCCACTTTTGATCAGCCTGGATGGGCAATACACAGATATGGTGAATTCCGGAGTAACGCGGAGTCCGCATGTGATCATAAACCATAACATGAGAGATCAATTTTGGCATCCGAAAATTCCGGCCTCGCAGGGCAGCGAAGCCTCCCGCACAATTGGCAGGTGGAGGGATGGAAAGGAGATCAATCCACGATTGTTTCATCTTCATCATCTTCATCATCATCATCAATAATAATAATGATAGTAATATATGATAGTGGATATGAACACTACGTAATAATCATAGTACTACTATTATCGATAAATATCATCATCATCATCAATAATAATAATGATAGTAATATATGATAGTGGATATGAACACTACGTAATAATCATAGTACTACTATTATCGATAAATATCATCATCATCATCATCAATAATAATAATGATAGTAATATATGATAGTGGATATGAACACTACGTAATAATCATAGTACTACTATTATCGATAAATATCATCATCATCATCATCAATAATAATAATGATAGTAATATATGATAGTGGATATGAACACTACGTAATAATCATAGTACTACTATTATCGATAAATATCATCATCATCATCATCATCATCATCATCATCATCAATGAATCATCATCAATAATAATAATGATAGTAATATATGATAGTGGATATGAACACTACGTAATAATCATAGTACTACTATTATCGATAAATATCATCATCATCATCATCATCAACGAGATGCCATGATGCTTTGAACAACCACAAGGTCACCACATCCCGGACTAGTTGGCCCAGTTGACCACGGGGGCACCTTCGGACTCATCCACCTCCTGAAACAGTGCGGCTCCATGAAGTGTTGTACTCACCCAATGATTTTGGTACAGACCAAGAAATTCTCCATCATAATTCCATCACGGATGAATTTATCATGGTAAAATCTAAGCATAAAATGGATTTTATAACGGTTTTCTGATGAATTTGAGGTCTAGGCTCCTAGTTTGATCATATTTGACAACCCATCCCGTCCAGCATCAAGCGTTCCGGTGCCCGAATGACAGCTCCTGAGAAACACGGCCAGCGGCGTTGAAAATTCGCAGAAACCCATGTCAAGAGATGTCAAGAGTTCCACGAGAAATCAATCTTCGAGACCCGTGGTTGGTGTGGTGTAATCCGACTTGGATTGGTTGGTTTGGCTTGGTTTCTGTGACTCCGACTCTGCCTATTTCCCAGCAGTGACTTTTTTGGTGCGCCCTTTCTGTCGACCCTGAAAACCGGAAATGAACCGTGGAACCCTGGAACCTGCTGGGTTTCAAAGCTGGGTTTGGGAAGATACCCACCAAAAAATGTGCACTTCAATGTATTTCACTAACAGGGATGAACTGAACAGGCATGGAGTTCTTTGTTCCGGCGTTTAAAAAAAGATCACCCTCCTGGTGTTTGTCGACCTTCGCCCAGTAGGCCCATGGCATAGCCTGAACACAACGTCGTTGCAGATCGCTGGACTTGGCGACTTGGCACTGGGCAATATAATTATCAAATATTCTCTATATATACACAATGACATATCATATCCTCATATTTCTCGCGTTTATCATGTTTATCCTTAATAAACGATGCTTAAAGAACGTATATAATTTTATATATATACGTATATATTACCATGGACTTCCCAAAACCCCTTGGCCAAGCTGATCCCTCAACCGCTTGCCTTCATCGGAGTCAACACCGCGCGGAGCTCGTTTTTGCCGCAGGTCGAGCCCATGGTTGCTCCTTGAGCATCGGAAAAATAGCGCCAACAAACATCACTTGCACGATATCTATAGACTTCTCTGATTCTATAGATAAATATAGATATATAATGATGTTTAATGATGTATAATGTTGTATAATGATATATAATGATATATAATGATATATAATGATATATAATGATATATAATGATATATAATGATATATAATGATATATAATGATATATAATGATATATAATGATATATAATGATATATAATTATATATAATGATATATGATGATAATGATGTATAATGATATATGTACAATGATATACAATGAACACAATGTAATGATAAAATTTAATGATATACAATGAACACAATGTAATGATATAATATAATGATATAATATAATGATATAATATAATGATATAATATAATGATATAATATAATGATATAATATAATGATATAATATAATGATATAATATAATGATATAATATAATGATATAATAAAATGATATAATATAATGATATAATATAATGATATAATATAATGGCAAAATATAATGATATAGTATAATGATATAATATAATGATATAAAATAATCATATAATATAATGATATAATATACTGATATAATATAATGATATAATATAATGATATAATAAAATGATATAATATAATGATATAATATAATGACATAATATAATGACATAATATCTGACATAATGTAATGATAAAATATAATGATATAATATAATGATAAAATATAATGATATAATATAATGATATAATATAATGGCAAAATATAATGATATAGTATAATGATATAATATAATGATATAAAATAATCATATAATATAATGATATAATATAATGATATAATATAATGATATAATATAATGATATAATATAATGATATAATATAATGGCAAAATATAATGATATAGTATAATGATATAATATAATGATATAAAATAATCATATAATATAATGATATAATATACTGATATAATATAATGATATAATATAATGACATAATATAATGACATAATATCTGACATAATGTAATGATAAAATATAATGATATAATATAATGATATAATATAATGATATAATATAATGATATAATATAATGGCAAAATATAATGATATAGTATAATGATATAATATAATGATATAAAATAATCATATAATATAATGATATAATATACTGATATAATATAATGATATATCATGATTTTGAATGATACATATATATATATATATTATGATATGTATTCAAGATTGCCAGTACCACTGTCAGTCCAAAGAACTGGTCACACTTCGTCACTTAGTGTCACATCATCTTGCTCTTTGATGCCAAAGGGAAGCAAAACGTCCAGTGTCAATTTCTGAAACACACGTGCTTGACAGTGCTTGACATTGCTTGACAACGGAACATCGAAAATGGATAAGAGTAGGCATCTTCTTTAGTTTTCTGATGTTATTATTTTACAAAAAATTGCAAATATGTTTTGATTGATGATTTTGGGGACCGGCCCTTTAATTGAATATACTGTAATTGATACATCCTCCCCTCTGCAACAAGGCACAGCTCAAGGACAGCTGGGATCCACAGCAAGGCAAACACCAAGGAACACCTCAGGGCAGCTGCGCCAGCGCGAATCAATGTCTTGCTGGCTTCGACAGAGGTCCTGGCACCATGTTCACCACCAGTACCTGTCAAGAATTGAGACTTTAAGGGAGGTTAATGGGAAGACAACTGATTCGCCTGGGAGACAAAAATCTGAGTTCAGCAGATTTTAATTGTGTGGTGTCCATAGAAGTCTCCATTGCCTAGCAAAGACAGGAATGCAAAATCAATGTCAAAACACGTACCTCTTCAAAAAGGGCAAGTTGAACCGTGATCACTTGACCGATTTGACTGCACTCTTCCCAAGACTGAAACCATGTCACCTTCCACTGAAAACTTTGATCATTGTGATCCAATGTGATCCATATCCCCAATATCCCCATCTGCGGCCTGTCCGAATCGAGTGAAAATGCGGATCTGGCAGAACAGTAGAAACCTGGGTCTGGCAGGTCAGTGTCAGCCGACATCTCCACCGGAAATATCAATGTGCTTCAAGTGTCAAGAGTTTTAACCTCTACCACTAGTTGAAATGGAAGGATGAAATTTTCAGCGTCTAGCTGAGAGATCATTCAGCAGCGCTGAACAAAGGTGACACAAACCATGGCATACAAGCATCTTGGCTAGTGAATGTCTACATCTTGCACCTCAATACAAGGAAGAGGAGGCAAGAAAAAATATCAAACAGCTTTGTGGACTTGATAAAATCATAATCTTCGGAACATGCATTCCAGAATATTCCAGATGTTTGCTGGACTTCATCATCCCTGTGTAAAGCTTCCAAGCCTATATGGTCCTATCGCGACCCCCGTTGACCCCATCCGGTCAGGAACACTGCAGCACCACATGTCGTCACGCAACCTTGACGGCCGCTGGCCCGACTAAGAGGCATGTTTCAAGCCAAGCCCGAAATAAACAGCTTGTAGATGACTTTTTGACTAGTGCAGATCCGAAGAAACACTCCCTCCAGATCCCTCTAGGGAATCTGAATACCTATTTCCATCTATATATTTCCCCTTGAACGGCCATGTTGGGCACGTTTTAAACCATCAGAATCCATGGGGAAGTGCTCCCCTAAACCATCAGAATCCATAGAAATTGCCTTTCCGCCTCCCCACTCTTGTCGCAAGAAAGGCCAGGTCATCCTCCCCTTGGCGTCCCAACCAGAGGCCACAGCGCTGCCAACCTCGCCGATGGCATCCTGAACCTTGGCACCTGGCAGCTGCCCATCTTTTTGGATGAAATTGAAAAACGACCAAAACCGACCACCAGCTACACCATCTACAAATATCATCAAATATCTACAATAGAATCCACGGGAGGTGTTTTTCAGTTTTTCAACTCCGCCGCTGGGCCAGTCTTTGGGCCCAACCGCACCGGGTGACAAGGGTGACACATGAGATCACATAAGAAATGTCCTCAGAAATGCCGAACATCCATGAACGATGACTCCAACCTGCTATAATCTGCTATTGTTTTTTGGGGGGAACGCAATGGGCTGATCCCAAATTGATAGGACGTTCCCATTTCGTTGGCCATGTTGCTATCCTCCAGGGTCGCTGCTTGATCTGCCTGACTCGTCGGTTGACTCCATGTCCCATGCTTGGTTGTAGCCACTGGTGCCACCAAACAACCAGCCTAACATGCGAAGTGCTGGAACAACTGAAGAATCTGAAAGCCATTCAGGGTGGGAAATATGTGGAAATCTTGAATATCAATGAATATCATCCCAGAATAATCCCATTCCATCAAGAAAAACTGCCAGAAAAGTTCTTGGAACCTGCCAGGAAATCGCATAAAATTTGAAAACCCAGCCACTAAAGGCCTGAACAGGCTCTTTCTTACAGGCTGAAAAGACGGTAGTGCCTCGCGCGAAGAAAACCTGTAAGATCCGCAGCCCAAAAGGCATCTGGGCCGTGTTTTTGATGCCAAGGATGCAGAGAATCACCGCAAAGCCCAGGACCAGATCCAATAGAATTAACCAGGCCAACAGTGGTGAGCGCTTCGTGGAGATGGCAATGAAACATACCAGCAACAGCAGCATCAGAAGCAACCCTACTGCTTTGGTCAGGACCTTTAAAACGAAGTATATGTCGTCGATTTCGCTGCGGCACAGGACTATCATGATGATGATTCGGAAGAAAATAGATAGAAACTGGAGGACACTCACGATCAACTCACCACTTTCATAGCAAAGTTCGAAAATCAAATGTGAGAAGGTCAGCAAGTCGAAGGGACCCAGGATGGTCACTGCTGCAGTGATCTCTGAATATGCTGCATTGTGAATATCAACACCAGCTCGAGCAATGTCGCGTAATGCCGTGGTGGACATCCCAGCAGTCAACAGCACTTGAATGGCAAAGTCCACCACAGCACAGTCCGGACCAATCTCTGACAGTATCTTCTCGGCATCGGAAGACTCCGAGCATTCCGCATACTGGATGGAGCCTCCGGTTGTCCAACTGTCAACTGGTGAAAGATACGTTAGATGCAACCAAAGATGCATTTGAAGAAAACAGATAATACATGTATAATTACATATAAATATATACTATATTTATAAACAATAGTGTAATTATGTACAATTATATATATATATTATATTATATATTATATATTACATATATACAGCTGTATCCAATCTTTTTTGGGCCCATGTCCCATTTCCCCCAGTCCGATTGCCGTCGCAAGATCCCACCTTGGTAGCCGGCACGCAGTTGTTGAGCCTCTTTGATGTTGATCCCTCCTTCGATACGGTCCACCTCAAAAGAATGGGAAAAAAATGGAAAAAAAAACGATTTCAATGGAGCTTTAAGATGTTTTAACCAAGAAGGATAGGGGATCTAACTCTGGAAAATGATGATGCTTACTGTTTTACCCGCAGAAAATTGGATTTATCATGTTTATTTAACCAACATAAATTGGGATCTCAACCACTGTAGTTTATTGTGGGTCAAAATTATAAGCGTCCATTGAAGGATACTTTCAGATCCTAAAAATATGACTTGACACCAATGACTTGACTAAAACCTGCTAAAACCTATTGGAAAAATCCCAGAATATGGGAATTCTTCCACTTCGTGGATTATGATGATCAAGGAAGTTTAAACCAATTTCTACAGTTCTTGTTTCCCAACCTCCTGCAAGCAGAAGAATGCACCAGCCATCAGCCAAAACCAAATATGAACCAGTGAGTGCATCTCGTCGGGGAAGCCCCATACTTCACCAGTTGGGAAGCCGGCAGTGTCGACGAGTTCTATGAAGCAAATCATTTCCTTAGAGTTAGCAGGGATCCTTATATATGTTTAATCTCAGAAAATTCGAAAATGTGGAATATATTTATATAATAGCCCCTGAACAACCAATCCCTGTCCCATACACAAACTCCGGAGAAGAGATGGAACCAGTCACAAACAGTGAAGACACCAATTTTTGGAAAAATACATTCAAAATCATTCAAACATGCTACTGCGCCGAGTGGCACAAAAGCAATGCATCACAATACGGCTCTTGTTGTCTGTAATAGTAGTTCCCAACCTCACAAATTGTGCTGGTCTGTGCCAGACCATTTGTTGGGAAAACCATGGAAAATCATTCAAACAGTCTGACATCACACTGGATGTTTGCACAGAAAAGGGGATCCAAATGCAAAAAGTGGAGGGGTTTTGAAGACTCTGAAAAGTACCACAGTAAATTCTATATACTAGACTACACTGTATACACAAACAGGTTCAAGCAATGTATCTGAGTCCAAAAGATATGAAAATCCGAACAGTGAAAAAACTGACATCCGGACCGGTCGGACCCCATTAGCTGAACCAAAGAGCATTGCAGCCACACTCACCAGCCAGAGGTATCTGTCCAATCGCAGGCCCCACGCGCGGACCAGCATCCCCAGAAGACATCCGAAGGCTGCAGAAGCGCACAAGTACTTCATTGAAGACATAAAGCGTGGCAGAGATGATGTCCTGAGTGGTGAACTGTGGCACCCATCGGCACCCACTGAGTCCCCTGATGTCCCCTGAAGCCGATGAAACCATTTTTCGCCGACTCTCCCGCCTGGCAACCAGAATGGGTTTCCCAGCTTCTTGAGCAAGATAGCCTTCATAGGCACACCAAAGCCTCGTGTATATGCTGCAATGACGGTTGGGGACCACCAGAACTACATTTGCAGAATGCAGTGCCAGCGCAAATGGCGAACTGCTGGGAGACTGTAGCAAGGCTCCTGGAAATGGTGGCCGACATGAGCATATTTTTGATGTACGCCTTAGTGGGAATACTGCTGGAATTGTATGTTTAAAAACTGACAAAGAGTCTGGTTGAGTGCACATCTATTTATTGCTTTGTGAGCTGAAGAAATTGATGTTCAATGATTTTCAGGTCAAAATCGCCAAGTTCACACAGAAATCTTTCTATTTGCACAACCACGAGACCAGCAATACCAAGACTCACCGTCACCACGGTGCTTAAAAGAAAATCGTCCTTATGGCCCAATGCCCGTCCTATGTTGAGATTCTGTGGGTTTGCCAACATGCAGCACCATGCATGGCGTGCACCACGGGGCCAGGAATGCCTCACTTTCCTCAGAAACTCAAAGATTCCTTCTGCCCAAGCATGGCCTCAGCTGCCAGGGGCCATTTGGTTTCCATAAATGGTGGTACCCCAAAATGGATGATTTAGGGGTACCCCTATTTCAGGAAACCTCCATTTCTCAGCTCCCCGGCTAAAGAAAAGAACCCCCGCCATCCAAGAACCGCCACGTCGCCAAGTGGCTGATGAAGAGATCGCAATCCAAACCTCTGGGGTTCAGCATCAAGGCCCAACTCATTTTCCCAGCGTCGCGGGTCACCGGTTTGATGTGCTGCTCCGTCACCTGGAGATGAAGGACTGACAAAAACCTGCAAAATGATGGGAAGAACACACAAAGGTATGCTACTGAAACATCACTTTCGTACCATAAAAAAATAGAAAACAACTTCAAGATATGTGGACATGTTCCATTGATTTATTCATTTTATTCAACAATTCTCTGCTTTCGGTGCCGAGTACCGTATAGATGCTGGGCCCATAGATACGGTCGTATCTCTGAAATGGATCGCGGTCATTCGGATGGATTTCCTCCTTCAACAGCGCGTCTTTCACCTGCCCAAACGACCGCCAACCATCATGATCATCTTCAAATATCATCAACACACAATAAACAGCAACAAGATGCAACAAGCCTTTCAGACTCCAGAAATCTCCAGAATCTCTTTTTTGTCATCAGTCTTTCTCCATCTTTCCCCACCTCCTTCCGCAAGTACTCCAAGTTCTTCCAGGTGACGCACCAGCGATCCGGTGGAACGGACTCGTGCAAGGCGTAGGCGTCGCCCGTCGCGGTTCGACTCCGTGTGTGTGGCCGATCTTCCATGGGCTGCACGTCATAGGTGTCCCGCGTCGAATCTGAGATTGACCAATTGGAATTGGACCTTGCCTCTATGACTACAATGACTACAATGACTACAAAGACACAATCTCCATGTGCACAACATACATCAACATACACTATCCGCATGTCCATATGGGTACTAAGTGTACTAGTAGTGCTAAAAAGCCAACAAACTCATGTCGCTCTGTGCCAGGCAATGCAATTCACATCGCCTGAAGCCGGAAAAAGTGCGGCAGGCGACAGATCACCGGAATCACAAGCCTGGGCCCTGCCACACAAAAGAAATGTGAGGCATTAGGAGCTCAAAATCTCAGCTCTAAGTAGTGTTGGATGATGTTGGTAATTGTTTATATATATATATATAGTTATATTAATATATATATTATATAATTTAAGGATATGTGTTGATTTATAATTGTTCACAATATTTTCATCCTACTTGACCCAATTTCCCCACTGAAATGAACCCTTGACATTCCACATTGAGGCCACTGATACACACCTCTTTGGCGCTCGTGGACATAGGCTTGGACGACCTCGACACAATGTGGGCCGTGCGGCTATCTGAAAATGATGGAGACCATGGGAAAATATGGGAAAAATGTGGAAACTCACCATGGGATGGAATGGGGTTTCCGCCTATTTTCGGACAAACCCATGTCGTGCTGAAGCCGAAGCATGGGTCAAACTTGATACCATCTGGTTTCAATTGATTTCATCAGCTCCATAGCTGTCTGGGAAATCCACGAACTAAATGGGCATCAAAAAATGAAGTGTTTTGCATGTTTGATAACACCGCAGGGTAACTACCCAACCATTTGGTATCCCATGGTATCCCCAGTGATTCCTCCGGGAATTTCCAGGCCCAGTGGCATGCAGTGGATAGTCCACTGAGAAGCCACAGAAAATGATCAATGACACCGCCTGGAGCAGTGGCTCACCGCCAGGGTGTCTGTGACTGGAAACAAAAATCTGTCACTATTGGTGAGATTAATAGAGATGATGAATGATTAAACTCCCAAGATCTTAACAAACACAGAAATATCTCATTCCAAAAAAACGGGGTTTTTCAGTGCGTGAAACCAGAGCAGATTTCAGCGCCCTTCACGGGTCAGCCATGTTACACCTCCATCAAGCCAAAGCTCCAGTGGAAAACGCTGGTGATGAAAAACAGGCCTTGGAACCGCTGGTTTCTGCGCTGGTTCCAAGGTCACAGCATGGTTGAAAAAAGGGATGACAGAACAATGAGAAAAATATCCGACATGAACTATATAAAGGTGATAATATAAAATTTAGGTATTTACACACATATATATATATAACCTGTTTTTGAACCCCTTTGTCACGCTGCTGGGTTTGCCACTACATGCCGCCGTTGAGAGCATTGCAAAGCACGCGATACCCTCAGTTGGCAGTGGTGATCAGCGGTTACAAAACTTTACAAACCTTGAGTGCCATGTTTAACCCCACAAATGGCATCGCAAAAATCGCCAACGCTCATATCTGAAATCAACAAACAGCCTCCATCCTCATCCTCGTCTCACTGTCGTCACCAATCCATGATACGAATGCGCCAAGGGCCGAACTGACAGCCACAGACTTTGTGTGAAGATACCAAGCGCAATCAGGGCCTCAGATCTGGACTTGTTCAGTGTGATGCAAAAAGACAGATAGAATCTATATTGAAGGTGAAACTGGGCCTTCTCCAGCCAAAAAAATGAAGAGTTCCAACTTTCCGACCTCTTCCAACCCAGGGCCCTATTTTCAAAACAGAATCATTTTGGAGATTTTGAAGGATTTCTGCGGCATACAACGGCCATACAACGGCTTAACATGGCTTAACCCTCAGTGTTGTCCAAAATCGCCATGGAAATCCCGTCCCAAGGTCCACACACACGCCACGCTCACCAGCCAGGAAGACAAGGCGGAGTTCACCACACGACTTTCGGCCTCCCAAGGATGTGCGCAAAATAATTTGGGTACGGAAATTGGTTGATTTTGATGATTTTGATTGATTTTCATTGATTTTCCACAAAATATTGCAAAAATCTGTGGGTAGGGGGTGCCCCATTTTGATCCATGCCCCACATGTCAAGCTGCCAGAAAAATATGAAGTAGAAAACCCGAAGAACTGCGATTTTCATAAAACTTGCAATAACCTATCAATTTTGGTCGATCCTCAGGGTCTACAGAGTCTGCAGTCTACACCCCAAAGCTGGCCTCTGCTCGTTGGAAGAGGTCAGACACTGGCCTCAGAGCTGGTTCGCTGGACCAGAAGCTCCCAGTTCAACATCCCTGAGGATCCCCACACTGGAGTTCCAAGATACCCCGCTGAACCTAGAGGTCACAGATTCCGTCGGCTATGATGACAACTTGGTACACATTTGAATGGTACATATGCCCCATGGTGGCATTGCTTGTCAGGGATGGCCATGGATTATTCTATTTGCAATGGCAATTCAAAAACCCAAGTGCCCACGGCAAGCCCTAACGCCTCAACACACCTGTCGTACATTCTCCCAATTTATCATCATAATCCCAAAAAATTATCCCAAAACTATCCCCCTGTTTAACATCGTTTGATTCTCCACAGACTTTTTTCCAAACCGGTGGATTCTGACCTTGACCATGGCAACCCCGGGCCCACTGCGCAACTTTTTGATTCGCCACTGCGCTGCGCAACGCCAAGGCTAAGGCCTTGGACGCCCAACTCACCAGGCACGGTTAATATTAATCGGCTAATATTATACATATATCAGATGTAATATCATAAATATAATCTCTAAATATCTCCAATGTAATATTACCATTAATATGCATATATATATATATATATATACATACTGTATATAACTATATAATTATACAGTATACATATACAATAATTATAATATATATAATATATATATACTAACATATGCATCAATCTCTATAGTATACATGCAAGCTCCTACAAATTGATACATATCTCATATCTCTATCAATGGATACATGTACAAGTATACACGAGTATACATCTAGCACGCGTGACAGCGAGTGCGCCTGTTTGAAGCTAGTCAAGATTCTTTGCCGTCAGACTTTCAAATGCAAAGTACATCATGTACATCTCTATCCTAGAAACGCTTCAGGTGTTCCCAAGTTTTGCACCAAACGTTTCTACCCCGTGACCCTTGCCATGCCTCAAACTCTCCATCGCTTTGGGGCAATGGTTCCTCGCTCCCCCACTGCGCAAAGGCTGTCGCAGCCTGCAGGGATCCCTGGTTGAATACAATGTATCACTGTGTATCACCCCCAACAATTCCAACATAGGCCCCAAAAAAAGGTGGGGCCCATAGCCGCGAATCCTCAAAACTTTAGGCTGCATCCTGGGTACGACTTCCCCTCGAATTTTTGAGAGCATTGCATGGCTATGCCGCGGATGTCCAGAGTGCAAACCACTCAAAACCCTTTGTATCGTGAAGCCAAGTCAAGCCTTTCCATGGGATTCAGATGTCAGACCCTTGTGATCAACAAACAGTACACCAACCCTGAACCCTACTGCGACCAAACTCAAACATAGTGGCCTCACCTGTTTGTAGGCACAGTGAAATGTAGATGTACACCATTTTTGCTCAGGAACGATATCCATCTATCATCTATAGATATCTATAGTATTCTACAGTCTATAATACAGTACTTCAACTTCCCTGTGAGGGAAACTAATCTCAGCAGACCATTGGAGACAGTGAGCTTCCAGCTCCCGGTTTCAGGATCTGGAATCCATTGGTGGCTGATGGTGGCTGATGGTGGCAGCCAATCATCACTCCATCCCTTCGGAAGCCCACCAGTGCCAGGGTTGCTGCACGGCGCCGCTTCTTGATGTTGGAGCCGACACCCAGACTTCGGGTCCTGCGACAGCATCGACAGCTGTGGTGTTTTGACCGGAAAAATTGCGACTGCAGCCTGGATGCAGCCCGGAAAATATGTCTTTTTCGGGGAACATGAAGGTTTTGCGAGAGAAAAGTGGAGGGGTTAACCAAGAAGCATCACAATTCCTATACAAATTAATCCATATTAATCCTACATGCCAACAGGAAAACGTCAGTACAAATGGCATTTCGTCTGAAATGGAATCTAGGGCCTAGGGTCGTTTTGCCCGGTAGCTCGGAAGTTGGAGCGTCCCAAAGATTTTGGGGAAACCACCAAATGCTTTTCATCCCAAGCATGGCGCCCGGATTTGTGTGTCAAGGCCAAGGTACCCAGCGTGGGGCCCACACACTGCGGTCAGCAGCATGAAACGATCTGTCGCCCAGAAATCACCTGCGACTCACTCTGAATTTTCGGTGATACCAATGACATAATATGGGACTGGGTTAAAATTAGGACCCAAAAAGTAGGATGGGGATACTGCCAATGGCCCAATATGAGTGAATTTGAATTATTGACTTATGGCATCAATGGCCAATGATGGGAAATTTAGGGCTTGAGCCGATGCCATTTCCCAGTCAAGTCATACAGGGAGCGAGAGCCTAAACTTGTTGATTGATTAAAAACGGAAAAGTATACTTTGCACATCAGTCACATCTTGCTTCTTAGAAGCACAGACAGAAAAATTGTCGAACCATTCAGCAAGTACAAGTTTAAAAGCGTGTTTGACTGCTGTGTAAAGCAATGTAATATACTATACTTATATTACTTATAAATTGACGGTTTCAGCGACCAAGTATGACGCAAACGAATCTAGGCTGCCCCGAAAAAAATCAACAGCAATCCAAGTTGGCATCGCAGTCACGGCCTACGAGCCTACAGACAAGAGGGCTTTGCTGATGTACAAGTCATCATCGCCTCAGATGCCAAGGTGACCCAGGCCGCCAGGCCGAACACCTGGGGTCCATACCAACCCTCTGCCTGTGGGCTGTACTGCCTGTACTGCCACCTTTCTTCGATCCCTTAAAAAAAAAAAACATAGCACACTGGGAGGGTGTCATGGTGTGATGTCAAGCGTCTTTCTTTCCAGGAATCACCGCCTTGGGTACACAGGATGTACCCAGCATACTGCGCGGCACCTTGCAACCTTGGTGATCGTGCATCAATCGTCGTGGAACATGGCAGTGGAAGAGCCTGGAAGAGCTTTGTTTTTCCACGGCACTACATTAAGTTGCGCTGAGCACACGAAATTGGCGATGAACTATGCTGAATCTGCTGAATATTGTACATGTACCCCCAGGCCGGGGGTGCCGCTCAGAGGTTTATCATGTCACCAACTCTTTGGGCACTACATTAAGTTGCGCTGAGCACACGAAATTGGCGATGAACTATGCTGAATCTGCTGAATATTGTACATGTACCCCCAGGCCGGGGGTGCCGCTCAGAGGTTTATCATGTCACCAACTCTTTGGGGTTTGGTTGGGGGTTGTTTAGGGTTTGTTTAGGGTTTATCCACGGTTTCATTTAGGGTTTTTAGGGTTTTTTACTACCGTTTTAATGAGATTTTGCTTTCAAGGCTTACTTAGGGTTTCATGTCAGATTTAGGCTTTAGGGTTTAGGATTAGGGTTAGGGTTTTGTGTTTTCAAAACAAATCTCGTCAGCCATTCGGCCATTCCGCCGACATCCCACAATGCATAAAACACTGGCCCTGCCAAGTCAAAACGCACTTCCCCGGCAGCACCCCCGTCCTGGCCGTACATGTATGTATGTATGGTAATGTAATGTAATGTAATGCAATGCAATGTAATGTAATGTAGTGTAATGTAATGTAATGTAATGTAATGTAATGCATGTATCTGTATGTATCTGTATGTATATGTATCTGTATGTATATGTATCTTTATGTATATGTATCTGTATGTATATGTATCTGTATGTATATGTATTTGTATGTATCTGTATGTATATGTATCTGTATGTATATGTATCTTTATGTATATGTATCTGTATGTATATGTATCTGTATGTACATATATGTATCTGTATGTATATGTATCTGTAATTATCTGTGTGTATATGTATCTGTATGTAAATGTATCTGTATGTATGTATGTATGTATGTACGTACGTACGTACGTAGGTAGGTAGGTAGGTATGTAATGTATGTATGTATGTATGTATGTAATGTAATGTAATGTAATGTAATGTAATGTAATGTAATGTAATGTAATGTAATGCATGCATGCACGCATGCACGCACGCACGCACGCATGCAGGCACGCATGCACGCATGCACGCATGCACGCACGCATGCACGCATGCACGCATGCACGCATGCACGCACGCACGCACGCATGTATGTATGTATGTATGTATGTACAGTATGTATGTATGTAACTAATATATATATATAATTATATATATATAATTCTACTTTTTCAATGTAATTATACATATTTTTGTATTTGTGATTATATATAATTATACGTATATACTCAATAGTGTACACATGCATTTCCTTTACAGTGCTCGCAAATTTCTTACATCATCTTACATCTTGCCATCAAGCTGCAAAGAGTTCGAACATTCGCTGATGCAAAGCAAATGTTCTCTACGGCGACCTGCCATGTCGACCAGGCTGGGTTCTTGACATAGACAGAATTTCTCAAATCTATGAAAATCTGAGATGCCCAGCTGCCCAACCCAGATTTAACTGAACAAATTGATGATTGGATGCGAAAGATGGACCAAATCTGCAGTCCCTTGTGATGGAATTTCTGTGGCACGCCTTGAAACATCTTTACTTCGGCTGATGTGAATGGCATGCAATTGACTGTATGGTATTAAGAAAGATAGAAAAAACATCAGATACATGACGGGATGATTGTGACCTTTGCCCGTGCGGATAAAACAAGGCAACAGTAGCAAAATCTGGCAAAGAGCGGCAGGCACAACATCCTGCCTCTAGACACAGTTAAGATGATGGCATCACCCGACTCCCAGTCCAATGGCTCCTGGTGGCGGAGTCAAAAATCAGACAGAACAGCACTTTAGCAATCCCCAAATCCGGAGAACATCCCATGATTTTGGATGGCTTATAACTCCAATACCTATGGTTTATAGGTGATATATGGTGATATATCTATAGTATTCTGGGATTGAAATTGCCGTTTCCACTAGTTTCCAGCTATTTGTCCAGCTATTTGAGGCTCATTACAATCTGGCCCCCTGCCGATCTGCCTTGAAGAGCTGTGGCTGTTCCGGAATCTGCATAGCTTGCACAGGTGCGGTGGAACATTGAAGGAATCTGTCCGTCTGTTGGGACAATCCAATCTTGGATCATGGAATGTCAAATATTAATATACCATATTTATAAATATTGATATCATTGTTCTATCATAACTATATATATGTATATATATATTCTGTTATATTCTTATATATTTATATCATTTTATATCATTATTTGTCCACATTTCAACATTTCATTCGATTGAATGTTGGGAAGGCTGTCGAATCCAAACTTCAACACCTGGTAAAATGATGTACAATGTCAGTTTTCCTACACAGATCCACAGATTGCACATGCCCTCCGTGGGGGCTGGATCTTTCTGGGTTCGCGCCTGGGGAACCTTGGAATCATCCCTGGTCTATTTGAGAACCGTCCTCTCTCTGTTTTCGTCCATTTGAGATATTCAAAGTACATCAAATTACATCGAATTACAAAGATCCAAAATGATCCCAATGTAGAAATCTCATCAGTACTGATCAAATCCAGGACGCCCGGGTCAAAGGCCTGACTGGGCAGGGGTGATTTCCACTGCTCCTTCATGGCATTTGGAAACCTGGCGCGTCGACGTGCTTGGCTTGAAACCCGGGAGTTACGGGGTCGCTGGCCATGCTTACCCCTTACCATCCCTTACCAATAATCACGCAAAATGAATTATTCAAAATGCCACAAATAATCACCAAAAATCACCCAAATAATCACCAATTGAATCCAATTGAATTTACCCAATCACCCAAAACGCTCCAAGCCATCGCACCTGGCTTTGAAGCTGCCAGTCTCTCCGCTGAAACGCACTTCACAAAAGTCCCGGTGCTGCTCCACCCATCGCCTGCTTCAAAATGTTCAAATCTCAGGATCCAAATTATCATGTGCCACATGGGTCTAATCTTAGCTCCGGTAAACGAAAAAAAAACGTGGCATCTTTTTACAACGAGATTCAATAAGTTGGGCGGTTTCAGGTGGTTTAAATGGGTTGCCCCACTTTCGCTTAAACCCATTCTCTTCGTGTTCATGATAGTACATCCTATTCACATCATTTCACATTGGTTCAATATGTCGCTACCCAAGCCCTTGAATGTTGAACCCGATTTTCAGCGTATAGATTCCGTCCTTTGGATCACGCGAAATGCCAACACACCCCGCGCCTATGCCGCGGTGCCAGCGTGTAGGGCAGTTCGTCCAAGTGCTTTGGGATAGCATAGGAGCAGTTGTTCCTCAGTCGAAAGCTGCTGCACCCTTGCCAAATGACCAGTACTCATTGCTGTTCACAAGCCCCAAACTGGTATCCATGTGAGTTCTAATGACTTTGGGTTCATCAATGTCAAGTTGGTTTTTGGTTGGTGTGTCGGTTCAGGTATCGAAAAAACTGACCCTATGACGCAGATATTTGCCTAACATATTTTGGTGGCGCCCATCCACTTCCAACCGATGCAGCTTAGTGTCCGAAAGGCAACTCGCATCACCTGAAGCAAAGAAACTGGCTTATCCCTGCTTGAACAAGATCCACAACATGATAATTACATATAATTACTGAAAATTACTGTGTACATTATCATAATTGTCAATGGAGTGCGGCATGTCCGACATGCTCACCTTCACTGCGCAAAAGCGAGTCGTTTCTTCGATTCCTTTGGCCACGGCAATTCCATGCAAGGACCACAGAGGACACCCTCCGCAATACGACAGGGTGAAAAGCTCAAGCTCGGACCTTTCTTAAGCGAAAAAAAAGAATTGCACTTAATGCGCAAGATATTGGATGGATTTGGATGGTACATAGTACAACCATGTACAACCCCATCCCCATATCATCAATCAACAGGACTTTTGAACACTGCGCATGCGTCCAGCGACCTCACAGCCATCCAGCATGCGCGGGTATCTGCGCAACGTGGAGGCACTGGACGCGCCCTCCGGGTTGAGATCGTGGCTGCAAAAAGGCTTTCCAATATTTTCCAATAAGAACCACCGGGATCGAGAACAGACCACCAGGGTATACCGGGGTCTATTGGAAACCTCGTATTTGTGTTAATTCCCGAAGTACACCATCTAATTTGACGAGACTTTTGAACGTATTGAGATGTTTTAAAAGTGGCATAGCTAGGCTTTCTCACATGGCATCTGGCCGACCCCACGGAGCCTCCTGGTCGTGGCCATTCACTAAAATGACGTGCAAGCCCAGATTCTGCAACGGGAATGGCTCACATGATGACTCTTGAAGAGCTAAAATGCGTCAAGAAAAAGATGTAACGTATCTGTAGACTATCTAGATATGTGTAATCAGGATTTCTGTGTATGTATGCAAATATATATATATATATGCAATTACACATAACATGATATAATATGTACAGATTGTAATTGTCTATTGTGTTTGAAGCCGATCAGACGCTCTGAGAACATTCACAGGCGAAGTGACAGCATCTTCCACCTGCAACTCGCTGACAGCATCTTCCACCTCGAGCCTTTCCTCCAGCACTTGACAGCTATCCTCAGTGGTCTTATGGCCGAAGGAAACAAACCTACCTGCTAATTTGTGTCCCTTGTGCAGCATTGAGAAAAGGTTGGCAAAGCCAGTGTCCGCCAAGCAAAATCATCCCCATGTTCATCAGAGTTCATCAAACATATAGAAATAATACTCACATATATATATATATATATGTATAAATATATATGTGTATATATATGTATATATATATATATCGCTATACATTATAGATTTATTGGGCACCAACATGTTCTGTGCTTGGCTCGTGCCGCCTCGGAACGATCACGCAGACCGAGAAATTCAGGCCATTCATGGGCCCCGACCACCCCGGCGCGCCGCAAGCGGCACTCCCGAGAGTCCATGGCAGAGCTGAAGCAAAATGTCGATCCGGAGGTGTGGGGAACTGATGCGAAAAGTCACGGGAAATTCCATGGGAAACTGGAGGTGTGAGTCAAAGAATGTCTAACTGATTAACTGTTCAGTATGATTCAGGTCATTTTGTTGATAGTTGTTGCTTAGCTTTGATTGAACTTCCCATTTAAAGGAGAATTAAGAAAGTGGATACGTGCTCTATCCCAAACACTCTTGATTTAGACCTAGAGGCCAAATGCAGGCTGCCATTTGTCGGTTTTTTCTTCACAAGTGGTTTTGGTCTGTTTTCCACAACAAAGCAGCCTAGCAGCGGGTACATTACAAGAAAATATTGGTTCTTGGGTCAAAAAGGCTTCTTCCGTGTTGAAGCTGTGTCTGCTTTGATCATGTCGACCACCTTCCCAGTCTTTTCAACACCCTAAGAACAGAAAATCTCGGGCGGCCCCTGCGGCCCTTTGTGCTATATGAGGGGCTGGGCTGGACATGAAGTCTACTCTGCTAACTCCAGTGTATCAGAGTCTGTCACTATTCCACGACTGAACTAATATAATATAATATAATATAATATAATATAATAAAATGTAATATAATATAATATGTATATAATATAATATAATATAGTACAATATAGTATAATACAATATGTAATTAACTACAATATATATATATAATCAACTGATATGTATATATATATATTAAATATAATGTCAGTAATATATCTCAGTCATATCTACTCTGGACTCCAGAGACGGCCTCTTTGCACTGAGATGCTGACTGTGCTTCTCTGTCACCTCACGATGAACTCGTACCACCGTCTCCTCCTGATCCATGTGCCACGGGCGGCGAAAATTCACGCGGATTCCACGGGGAAAGGTTCAAATCTGAGCTGCAAACCCAGAGGTCCATGTAGGGCCTGAGATGGGAAGAAACAAAATGAAACGAGCACATAGAAATGGAATGGCAATTTAATGGATATGGCTAGACACCTGGCAAACCCGGATCATTCTTGTCACCGAAGCATCCTTTTCAGTGACTTCAGTGGGCCCACTCGCAGTTCTTACGCAAGTTGCCAAACTGACTGCCATCAGGGTCCAGGTCTTGGTGTCGCTCTGAAATCTGAATCTTACTGAGGGTCAAAGGTATCGATCCACATGGCGCTACATTGATCTACGTCGATCCACGAATCCACCAGTTTTCCTCATCCCAGGACACCTGTCATCTTCAGCAAGTGACTGCACTTGACGTCCCGAGCTCCAAATGTCGACTTCCACGTTGAAATCCAGTTGAGACCTCGCGCTAAGTCGGGAACCCAAATGAAAACTAGAAACTGCCCCAGCAGTGGCCAGTTTTCAATGCAAGAATATCTTGCATCCATTATATTCAAATAATTTCAAATATATGATTGCATCCAATTACATACAGTAGCAATATGTTTTGCATTAGTCATTAGTGTCAAGATTCGAATTGACAACTTTCGGCGACGGGATTGATCACAATCTTCCCATCTCAAGATCAGCACTCTCACAGGATCTCACAGGTCCCCTTTGGGCCCGAGCCAAGCTGCAGTCCCTCGATCCTTGGTTTCGAATCTCGAAACGTATCTGGTTGGAAGTGGTTGGATGTAGTTCGCATCTTTGTCTTCCCCTTTACGATGCTCAAACAGTCTGTTGGCCACTGCTCAAATAAATGCCCACCCCCGCAGATGCGACCATGGTGTTCCAAGTATCGATGTCCATGTGGTCACCGACCCATCGTGGAGACTGTGCCGCAAGGGACCCACGGTTGGACCCACGGTTGGACCCACGGTTGGATTGCAATCTGAGAATGGTTCAAAAATGGCTTACCAACGTGCCTATGGAACTGGTTTGGTCACTTTCAATGGTTACTACTCAAGAATCTAATCTTGGATGTTAAAGGTTTTGAGCCACGACCTGTTGAGGCCTCCAACTTTCAACCATCAGTTTTTTCGGGACGATATGTTCATCAATGTTGACTGATGTTCAAAGTATGTCGCAAAGATAGCAGCCAAACCACTAAATTTCGTACCAAAGCAGACAAAGTGAGGGTTTTCTAAGACAAAATTCTAAATTACGAAATTGAAAAACAACATGAATAAACTAAGGCACACAACTACTTCAACACGTAGCCATAGAGGGGAACTCCCGTGCCACAAAGATAAAGAATCGAACAGGGACAATCTTTTTGGCACATACTCTAGGTGCACGTAACATAGTAATAAATACATAGTATCCATCTACAATCATGTAAATCAAACAGAAAGATACAGATGGATACTATGATTAGATGGATACTATATGATACTATTATCTATTATCCATCTAATCCATCTATTATTGGATACTATTATCTATTATCTATTATCCATCTATCAGACAGCTCGAATCCCCGCTTTTTTTGGCGGTGACCGCGGTGACCGCGGTGACCATGACGCACCTCCCGGACGAAGTGCCGCAGCTGGGGCAGGAAGTCGCTGGTGGGCCAGGCTTGTCCGCGCCTGGGTCAACCGTCAGCTTGGGGCCAGGTACAGTAGTAGATATGCGTTTATGTGTCTAATATATATATATATACATATGCGATCATATGTGATCATGTGTATGCCTACATATAGAATTGTTGATTATCGATATCTATATCTATGTCTATGTCTATCTATCTGTCTATCTATCTGTCTATCTATCTATCTAATCTATCTAATCTATCTATCTAATCTATCTAATCTATCTATCTATCTATCTATCTATCTAACTAATCTAATCTAATCTAATCTAATCTAATCTATCTATCTATCTATATATCCATATACACACCAAGAATACGGTGTGCCCCCTTTCTGGACACAACGCAAGACAGATCCACAAGGAAAAATGCCTTCCAACATTTTCAAGGTGAGGGGCATTGTCAGAAACTCCTTCATCTTCAATGGCCAGCAGTTCCAAAGTCCTGGAACCACCTGCTCGGACAAGGAGAGAAAGGCAGAAGTGCTCGAGATTTATTTGCAAACGTTAAACCATTTGCCCGAGGATCATCGCCAACACAACTACGATATGATCATCATCGGAGCTATGAGTGTCACCTTTCTGTCGTCCTTGTTAACTTGTTCACTTGAACAACCAGCTGAGATCATCTGAGAATCTGTGAGCCCAACCTGCAACTCATTCCTTGAGGGCATGGGGCATGCCATGGTCGAGCCTTCAGCGCTGCCTGCTGCACCAGTCGCTGGCAAAAGTCCACTATGGCCACTTGCGCCTGGCGTACGCAGTCACTTGAGCCATGAAAAATACGAGTTGTTTAATGGCAATGCTCACAGATATAGGTAGCACAACCCCCTGCAAGAACTAGTCTGCAATGGTATTTTCAGGGGTTCCCTTGTGTTTGAGGTGACACATGGTGACATCACTCAGTAATTTACCATGTGCAACCAGGACTCTGATCAATCCACAAGAGCTTTTGACCATTCACACCGTTCTGCATGAACTGGATGGGGCTTTCCAAACTTTCCAACCCGGGCTTTCCACAGCCAAACTTGCCATATCCAAAACAAGAAATGATCCAGGAAATGTTCCCAAACAACAAACCTACCTAAATCTCTGAGCATAAAATGGATTGCGATCCCTGCTACATAGATGTCATAGATGTCTCTGAACCCCAAACAAATGGGAGAACGCTGCCCTTTGGTCTTCGCAGTTCCACTGGGTGGATTCTCGGGTACTGGACCTCATCACCCTGAGATCCTACCACCAATTACCATCCCCAAAAATAGAGAAAATATATAACGTCGTCCTCATCGTCGTCATCATCATCATCAGCAGCAGCAGCAGCATCGTCATCATCAAACACCATCTGCGTCATAAAATTGACAACCCGGAAATATATTGCTAAGGATCAGTGATGATGATGGTGATGATGATGATGATGATGATGGTGAATCGGAAATAAATAGTGATAATACAATTAAATTAGGGGTACCAATGTGTGATAATGAGTGATACCCTATGGCAATTTAACATACCAGTATCTATTTGAAATAATGATGTTAAACGTATATCATCTATAGATGGGCCATTTTCCGTCGCATTGTTTCCAGTACGAGAGGGTAACAATAATCATGATCAATGACCATAAACCTTCTTGACCATTGTCAGAACAATGATAATGATACCATTTAAAAAGATAACAACAACAACAACAACAACAACAACACTAATCATATAATAGGAATGATAACGGTATTTCATGTATAATTATGATGGTTATACTATGTTATACTGCGATTTTATAATGATGATAACAATAGTAGTATAAAACTAAGATATCATATGTATTAGTCATATTGCAATAACTATTAGGATAATAGTGGAATCCTCTGGTATCCTGCAATGAGGAAGGATACCAAATCTTCGCCTGTGGCGCCGACAAATCGAAGGCATCATCCACCTCGTAGCGGAAGCCACCAGGCACCTGCCAAAACAGAAAGGGTCGGCTGGGAGATTTTGCAAATAGGCCAGTTGTAAGAATAAACAAGCTACATATGTGTACATATCATTACATATCTATATATGAGTATCTACTATGTATGTATATATACATGTTTATATATATATATATTTATTTATTTATTTATTCATATGTATCCACATGTCTACATGTGGATTATGTCGCTGTATTTTTCAATCAAGTGCGAGTTTGCTAAGGAGAATCGAGAAGCATTCCATGGTTTGGAACAAGTCTTGGGACAACTTGAGATACGGCAAGGCAGTGCCTTCCCCGAGGTACAACTGACATCATGTCTTCATCGTTGACCGGCAAGTGTGACACACCACCAAGCTACCGATTTGAGAAGCGTTCAATTCAAAACCCTGAATTGTTCCATTATACTGGTTGGTTAATAGGGATTCCCCGTTCATGGATTATGATAATCCCCGACATTGTTTAGAGTAACCCCCCATCATCAAGAATCATCAACCAGGTTTTGAAAACTACTCTTGTGCCGTCAGCTGACAGTGCCTGTCGAAAGCCAAATAAAACGAAGACTTGGGCTTGACCTTCGCCAGCTGCGGTTGCAACAGAGCTTGCCATGGCATGTCTGAGACCTGTAGAGGGAAGTTGTATCGTCATGTCATGTCGTTAATCAGCTATTTTATCCCTGTACTACACATATTGCATTCTTGTATATATAAATGTGTGTCATTGTCGGACATTTACATATTCAATCATATTCATCTATAATATATTCTAATATAAATATTGGATCATATTGGATGTATAGACTCAGATCAGAAAGTCAGAATCCAAAAAATAACATAGGGGCTAAGCTCGCCGGCGATCTTTGGTCATGCCCCGCTTCTGTAAATGTAATGGAGGAAGAGTCGACTGAGACACGGCAGGGCAAGGTGGCGACGTGACCATCACCGATGGAAAAAATGTCCTACCAAGTAAATTTCACTATAGATTTTATATGATTTTCTATGATTTTCTATGATTTCATATGATTTTATATGATTTTATGGACCTGAAGAAAGGAACAAAAATCCAGGTCAAAGATACAATGCCAGACATGTTTTAATGATGTTTTCTTCTCAACTGCTTTGCGCACACATGAGACCTGCACTGAGACGGGCACCGTGGGTGCACTGGTTTGGGGTCTAGGCGCAAACCACCTTTGAGTGTACAGGGTCTTGGTGATGGGGCCAATCTGGTCAGTCTGGATTCTCAGGAATGGAAATCACTGTTCACAAGCTTGGCAGTCACTTCAAGATCCTCTGCTTTCAAACTCCCCTCAACTTGATCTGTGAACTTCTGTGATCCTTCTAGCATACTTAGGTCATTCCACCAGGAAGCTTTGATATGAACGTTGTTCCTGGGAAGGTGTGAAAGTGTACCCACATGTGTCCGTTTCCAAGCCCCTGGTCTTGACCAAACATCATTTGGCATCATCTTAGTCCGACAAGATATGCTGGAATGCTACAACGTGTGTATATATATACCTCACGACAGTGTCTAACGTGCCGAATCCATTCGACCAAGGCTAAAATTAATCGCCTCTTGTGACTGGACGATAAATGGTCGGATCTTGGCTTACCCATGAAGTGTTGACCCGGTTGTTAAAAAAGTGTTGACCATGGAAAATATTGACAGAAACCAGAAGAATTGAGTGGAGTAACACCATTCCCAAACACTGCGTGCTTCGCTGATATATCAATGCGTCATCCATTACATAGTGCTTTGAATTTCACAATAAGATCTTTCTACTTGATGCAGTACAATATACTTAACACCAACTGAACAGCCCCCAACAAATGTTCCACACTAAGGTCCCCACTCTGCTGTCGTTGTCACAGGCGCCAACGTTGTGGGCTTTGACGGTGTTGGTCTATGTCGCACCTGAGTCTGAGAGTGGTTTTGCCTCCAAAAAGGACTGCTTGGGAAGGTATCTGCTTGACATATCTGAGATGGCCATGGCTCAAAATTGGGGGCCCCCATAGAGCTAGAAAATATGCTATGTTTGGTATGGCACCATCAACTTTTCCCGCAGCAAGTGCACTACGCCCCAAAGGTACTTCACAATATACACTTTCATACGTTTTTTTTCAGCGTTTCTTTAGTGTTCATTTAGGGGGGGTTATTTAGGGTTTGCTAGGTTCCTTTTACGGTTTATAGTTTATGTAAAAAGTGCTGAACGATTGCCGGACAGCAGATTCCCCGCAGAGGGACATCAAACACGTCCCTGGGTTCGCAAACCCAGGGACATCAAGTTATAACATCTCAACATCGTGGAAGGCCACAAAGTACTGTAATGGTCACTAAAAATGAGGTTCCCGACAATCATCCCGAGAGAGTTTGGGGCGTAGGACAAGCGCTAGCCGATTTTTTTCAGGGCGATTATTTTGACCCCTTGATACCGTATCCGCCGTATCCCACTTTCCATTTTGCAGCAGGAAACCCATGAGTTTCTGGCCCTTTGAGTCCACTCATTGAGCCAAGGGACAACCGCTGTTGCCACTGTCGAAGTGTGCCTGGCGTGGCCCTTGCTATGCGCCATTTTTCATTCAAGGCTCTTCAACTCAGAGCTGCCCCTGCCTCAACGTGGTGTCGTGCGAAGTACTTGGAGCTGCTGTCGAAGTGACCTGCCACGATAGCCAAGGGAGTACTAGCGGCGGCATTGATCATAGTCCTCGAGCTTTCGAAACAATACGTCAAGACCTTCTGAAAAGTAAAACTTCAATGACGTCCCTCTTTGTTGAAGATGCCCGTTCCATTTTTTTACACCTTCCCAAACTCCGAACCAAAAGGCCTGATGGTCTATGTCAGTAGCACCAAAAACTTGCAGCAATTCCTGCTTTGAGGAACACTGACAGCGGTGAGATTTTGAGCTTGACATCAGCTGAAGCTGCACAGTACGTCTACAAGATATAGGAATCTTCAGGAATTCACGGTGTGAAACTTTTTAATGGTTAAAACAAGCAATGTGCAAGAAATGACTTTGTGCTCAAGACTACCAGTGCAAACGCGATGTGGGTACTAGAAAGTGCAAATTGTGCATTTATCGATCCATAGGGCTTGCAACGAAGCGCATGTTTGGACCTTTTCCATCCACAGGTGCAACTCATCGACCGCACATCTCCTGATTTGTCTCCAAAAAGTCCTTTATTTGCTGCTCCTGGCACCAGGCTTGGTGGTGAATGCTCTGTTTCAATGTGCTCCACGGCATCCCAGGCCTGCTTGGTAGAAAGATGTTGAAAGTGAAGGGTCACCTAGCAGCGCTACACGCTGTAAGCGTCTTCGGTGGCAGTTGGATACGGAGGCAAGGACAACAGCTCAATGTGTTTTTGATTTCTGCGAATGTCCTCCTCTTGCAAGCGGGATCCAATCACCCAATAGTCGAGTTGAAACCAACAAATTTTGGGAAAATAGGTGAAAATAGGTCTTCAAGCCCAAGCATAAGCCCATGGCCTCAAATTCATCTCCTAGCCGCCGGAGCTGCTTTTGACTCTTTGGCTGCGCCTACCACATGGCCCACATGGCCATGGATGCCATGGGAATCACCTGGAAATAATGGGACATGTCGCTACTGTCTCTTTCTATTTTTTCAAACATGATGCTGTATATCATAATTATATTACTGTATATATATATATCATGATATCACGATTATATATCATGATGCATCATGTATTAATGTATAAAAATGTCTATTTCGCCCACGACCATGTGAGTTTTGTTTGCAGCTGGATACTTCCGAATCAACAGTTCTTCCCCCGGGCCTTGATCTCGACCTGCAGATCTTCTGGTTCCAACTTCAGACTGCTTAAGATCTTAGCCTCACAAGCGACCAGCGGACCAAAGGTGGCGCTTAGATCTCCCAGCGGATCTATGCGGGTTAGATCTCCCAAGGGTCACAAGGACTGTGTTTTTGCGTTGCGAAGCGTGACTGAAATGAGGTCTGTCTAGAGTCTATAGTAAAGTCAGTAAGGCAACTGAAGTTGAGATTCTGTTGCACGAAAGGTGGCCCTAAGTGACTGTAGCCCACAAGCTTCGAAATCAAATCGGAAGGATCACGAGTTTCTTGGATGATCATACTATTGCCATTTAGGATCTCCATTCCTTTCATAAAGGAATGGGCCAGGCAAACCTTGGCCCTTGAGGCTCAGTGAACCAGACAACTCAGCAACAACGAGGAAAAAGATGGAAAAAGTAGTCGATGATAGTCCATGACAACATGACTACAAAAAGAACCAACCGTGACAATACCACAGTGTACAGCAGCAACACTGATATGTGTATATAGTATATACATATATATATAGATTATATATACACATATATATATATATTATATAGTCGTGACAAACAAGGCAAACAAGAACCAGCAAGAACCGCAGCTACGAGAAGCTGCAGCCATCATCAGCAGCCAAGTGGCACGAAGGATCTCTAGCTCCTCCACATCCACTTATCATGTGGGTTTGTCTAAGAATATGGGCCTCCCCAAATCCACTGGTTGATCACCGTGTTTCCTATTACCTGGCCATGGTTTTCAGACACACCTATTTCTCATATGGTTTGAATGATTCTAAGCCTGCTGTACCCATGGGATCCCATGGGGATGTACTTTGCAGGGTGCTTCCTGGTTCCTCCCGCAATTGTGAAAAAGGGAAGTTCATGTGGAGAATCCAATGGCGGCCAGGCCGGAGCATCCACATTGAAGTTGAAAATGATGTTCTCAATAAAAGTGAATGGATCTGAACGGATCTGAACGGATCTGAATGACTTATGATGAGACTTATGACTCTGTGACACTCCACGGTGCTACAATGTGCTACACACTAATCAGCCATGATACACTTCTGCTTCCTGTTGGACTTTCCCCTGACATTCCCAGCTTCGCTGCTCCTCAGGGTCCGTTTCACCCTGCACCTTGGGAGTTGCTGCACTTGGGACCGTCACGGAATTGGTCCAAGGGAAAATCTATAGGAAACTTCAGGAAACCATGGTTTTTACCCCCGGATATAGGGGCTACCTTCTATAACCAATTCTGGGGGTGAATGGAAATCTGAAAATCTCGCCAAAGGTCGACGGTAAGCCTGTAAGCGATGTTCCAGAACACAAATTTCAAGAGTCAATGTCAAACCCAGAACACCAAATCTTTACCGCAAATTGTCCCTAGACTTGGCCTTCCGTTAATACTTCTAGGACTGAATTTGCTGAAGGTTTTCACTTAGCAACTTCAGCAACCACCATGCAACCACCCAATTTGCCACGCAACCAACAGATACCAACAGTACGGAGCTGAGGCGCCCAGCCATGAGGTGAACATCGTACTCGCCGGGCCAAGGCCTGGCCGGCGACTTCGCAGTGCTCGGCCGAGAGGTGGTGGGCAACGGCCTGGATGAAAGATGATGAAAGAGTGAGGGAGGGGATGTAGCCGATATTAGCCGATGTAGCTTAGCTACAAAATAGCTGTAGCTGGTGAAAACATGTGAAAACGGAGATGGAACCAACATGAATGAATTCAACATGCATTTCATCATCCAGGTCCTTCCCAATGCCGTCTTTTTCCCCGCTGGCAAGGTCTGTTGTCT